AAATGCCATCCCAAAAGCAAATGAAGGGATTATATGGTAGGCCTCTGAGCCCTGCTGGTCCCCGCATGAGTCTATAGTCAACGGTGAGTCTCTCCAGTATGTTTCTAAGGCTCTTCCTTGATGTGTGGCCATGGTGCTCTTCTCACTTGAACCAATATACGATCAGTTTACTCTATTTCTGTATCAGTTTTTATCTTCTGTTTTACCAAAAAAAAAAAAAAGAGTATCAAGTGTGAATTGCTTTAATTTACTATTATTATGTCTATATTCATCTAGGACACTCTTCTTTTTCCCAGGTAGAAGAGATATCTCCTACCACTGCTCACTGTGAATTGGCTACCAGTGCTCTAGATTCCTCTTTGATCCATGCACCCTAGATTGTTTACTTATAACTAATTTATTGAAGATAATCACATACTATATGCTGCATATATTTAAAAAGCACACTTTGATTAAAGAAGCCATACAAAAATTACAATAGATGTTGTATGTTTCCATTTGTGTATCATTCATAGAAGTACACAATATGCTTTAATGGTATTTTATGCAATTGTTAAAAATTTAATGTCTCTGAGCCTCACCTTCCTTGTTTCTGAAGATAATCTGGGACAGTAAACATAACTTTAGATGCATGTTGCAAGATATAAATGAAATATATGTACATATTTCGTTGAGTCTGAAAATATGTTCAAAGATAAAGTTGTGTGTGTGTACACACACGTATACATTTGTACACATTTATATTTCAAATGAATATATGCACACAAACACAGGTTCATTTCTAGTCATATTTTATGTTGAAAGTAAATGAGAGAAAGTTGGAGAAGATAGAAATGAAAAGAATGAATGTTTGAATTAACACGAAATTAAAAGGATGTAGAGATTTAGACACAAAGATTTAATGAAAATGCTATACATAAATTTAAACAATGAATTGCTTTTCATATCTTAATGTCTGAAAGTCATCAAAGACTGAATTACACTTTCTTTTAAGAAAAGGGAAAATCTTCACCAGGTAAAGAGGCTGAATATATCCAAATAGATTTTAAATTTCTTCTTCTACTTTAAGTGAGATTATGCAAAACACATTTGCACGGGGAAACTAAATGAATGCATCAAGAAGCTTAATCTCAGTTTCTTGAAAAAAATTTTATTTGGTAAATGTTTGTATTTAATTCCTAATGTTAATGCAAAATTACCACACTAGTGATTTAAAACAAACACATTTATCCTCTTACAATTCTGAAGGTCAGAAGTCCGAAATAGGTCTCACTGGGCTAAAATCAAGATGTTTGTCAGAGTAGATTCCTTCTGAAGGCTTCAAGGAAAACTCTGTTTACTTTCCTATTCTAACTGAGATTATAGTGCAAAAAGTACAAATATATGTCTTATAACTAACAAATATTTCATAATAATGGACTATGTGGCAGCTCTTAACTTGTGATAAAAGTATGAAATTCCTAATTGTTTTTGGCAAGTGTGTTGAAACATAAGTGTGCTGTGCCCAAGGTTTATGTCAAGGAAACTAAAGTTCTCCCTCTTTATGAAGAGAATAGCTATTTTCCACAGACATCAAAGGCTGCTTTTCCACCACAAGTCAATATGTTGAAGATTTAAGGCATCTAATCTAGACAGAATCCTCACTCCCAAATTTGTAGAAAATTTTAAATCAGTGTTGGGATAAGGTGCTGGGAAGTTAATCCTCTGAAATCTAGCAGAGATCATGAGGGGGGACTAAGAAAAACTGCATTCACTTGATTCTAACCTGATCTATTAGGAGCATAGAATCTGCAGGAAAACATTTCTTTCTGTCCAGACTAATATGCCACAGGGAAATCAGTGCTTCGAGCTTTGAGGAACCAGAGTGAAATGTGCCTAATGAACAGACACAGGGAGTTGTAAATACCTCCTCTGCTTGTCCTTTTTGCAAGCTTGGGCTGGATGGGACATGGTTGTTGTTTTTGGAATCTTAAGTTTGGCTGGGAGACTAATGCCTGACTCCTTCCTGCTGCCTTGTGTCGAGACAGAGCTTCAATCTCCATCATCAAACATCCACGAGGAATTTGGACTTCCACTCGGTAAGCTTCTCCTCTGAGCTCCTAACCAGGCGAATCGGAGAGCCCAGTGGGGACTGTTGAAAAGGCAAGAGAGAATCAAAGCAAGTACACACACCTGAGGTCAGTTGAGAGCCACCAGCCTAGGCCAGAGCCAAAACACTGCTACAGTTGTTTGCTCACTTGATTAACGAATTAATCAATTTATTTATCACGCTAAAAATAGAAATGAGTATTGAACTCAGCAATGCATAGGTGATTGTTCACAATTAAGTGATACACCACAATTAGAGAAGGGAAGGAAAGGCATAAAGTGCCTCCAGTAGAATAGAACATATCCACGAGGTTTTGCAGTCAAAGGGAGTAGGAAAATATGGTATCATGCGAGGAAGGATGTCCAGTGAAGTGAGAGCATCTCCTTTTTTTTTTAATGGGGCGTATTCAACTGTGTCTTCATATTGATGAGAAAGACCCAGACTAATGTGTTACTTGCAAATATTTCCTTGCAACAAGAGTTCATAAGACATTTCATAGTATCTTCTTTCCCTCTGGGCATTCACATTAAAAATAAAACCACTTTGACTTGATAAATAAAAAGGGGCATGCTAAATAACTTTACCCTGCAATTATTTCAAATGTGTGGGCTGAAGATACTTGTAGGTTAGTTATTCAACTGTTTTCTCTATTGTAAATTGTACAAGTACTTTATACATTTGTGAAATGAGGACAGAGTGATTTTATCCTTGTTTTTGATTGCATTCTTCTAAACAAGGAACTAGAGTTTTTTTCACTAATTTTGTTCTTTGTCATTGAATTATTTTATGTATAGATGAATATGTGGGGAATCATATTTATTAGTAATATGGGGTCAAATTTATCACTCAGTCATATTGTGTTTTTTCTATTGCGTTTTTGGGTTTTATTTTTCTTCCCAGAAGTATTTAGCTCTCACTTTTATATTCTTCACTTGTGAATATTTGATATAAACAAAAGACAAAGTAAATTTTCTTCTCTACACTTAATGCTAATGTCACCCTTTATATATATTACCAACTAGTTTTTACATTCTTTTCATTCCCTCTTGTTCCCTGCAGCCCATTTTGGTTAGATCTATTTCTAAGAGTCGCATTATCTTTGACCATCAACTGAAAGACATTCGTTTCTACACTTGATTAAAGGTTAACTTCAACTTCCATAATGATATTTTAATCCACATATCTTTATATAAGAAGAAATTATAACAGATACTGTTCTTTGAAAAGTTTAAAAGCCATTCTATTTTATTCTTTTATTTCCAAGTCTTTGGAAATTTAATCTGGAATTACTAACCCATGTTGATATTAGTAAATTATTATTATTTTATGTCTATATATGTTAGTTTTAGATTCTTATTCAATTTTGCCTCATACAGCTGTTTTTAAACCACTATACTTAACCTAATTTTATTCCTCTTGACAATATTTATTCCATAAGTTCTTAGTTTCTTTTATAATTATCTTTCTATGCTATGCACACATACATATTCATACTCTTTTAACAAAATCATGAGTAGCATCTTGTGCACATAATAAATCCTCTTTATGTCTTAGTGAAATCTTGTTTTCTGTGTTCACTCTTCCTTCTTACTCAGTAATAGCTCATGGGCCTATATCCAATAATTAGTGCAAAGCCAATTAATTATTTAAATGTCTGCAAAATGTTATGGCTGTGCTATTCACACTTACATATTCTCTCTCAATACATTACTATTATAACAACTATACAAAAGTATTTTGAGATTGTTATATTAAAATTCTACTTCTTCACCAGAGGCAATATTGTTCCCCCAAAGACAAGAACATCCAGAGGACACTGAGGAACAGGCAAAGACATATTTGGCGTCACATGAGGGGCTGCCAGTAGAAGCTGAGGACGCATCCTCAGCATCCTACAATGCATGGGACAGACCCCACAACAAAGAATTACCTAGCCCAGAATGTAAATAGTGCCAAGAGTGAGAAATAATGAGTTAAAAAAATCTATATTTTGATACTTATAGCTGGCTTCAGGTTGTTTTCCCAACATGTAACACTTCACACATTTGCCAGCAAAATTAGAGAATCCTATTTTGCTACCTGTTTAGAAATTCCATCTCCAATCAACGTGAAACATCTTTAAAACTTGAAGATCTCACAGGTTGAGGAATGTGAAAGAGATTTCTTGTTTTTTTGAGACAATTATTCAATTTGAGCAAATATTCATATCCTTGATCCCCATGGTCATTATTATATACCATCTCTATCACATTGTCTTTATTATTCCCCTTCTCACACTTGCTTCCTTTTTTGGAGGAATAAATGAAGTGGTATAATCCTCAGGGCCTTTACAGTAGTTGTTCCCTCTGCCAGGAACACACTTCCCCAGGTATGCTCTTGGCTCCTGCCTTCTCTTCATTGAGTTCTCTCTTCAAAAGTCACCTTATTTACTGGTGTTTACTGAACACCAATTAAAAAATAAAACTCCTACCTGTTCTCTATACTGGCTTTTCTTTTCTTCATAGTACTTGCCATCATCTGGTGTATTATATGCTATTTTTATTTGTTTTTATTCTTTCACCATCATTGGATTGTGGTTGCTTCTGTCTCTCAGCACTCTATACTCATTGCCTGTAAAGTGCTTGGAACATGTTCAAAACTTAATAGATATTTCTCAAATGCATGAAAGGTATACTCAGTAAAACAGTATAATGCATGACCTCTTGGGGGAAAATACTGAGAATGGGTCAAAAATGCCTAATCAGAGATTAACAGGGAATCACTTAAAGAGAACAAATCCATGCATAAAATACTGACATTGATTTTTTGAATGCAAAATATAGAAATCGTAGCATTCCAACTATGGGAGTAATGCCATTTGTGTGAAATTAGTAATGTCATTTTCCTCTTTCCTGGTACTCAGTCCAGCCACATGGAACCAGGCAATGGAACAGGCATTTCAGGATTTCTTCTTCTGGGATTTTCAGAGGAATCAGAATTGCAGTCCTTCACATTTGGGCCTTTTCTCTCCATGTATCTGATCACTGTGCTTGCAAACCTGCTCATCATCTTGATTGTCAGCTCTGACTCCCACCTCCACACACCCATGTACTTCTTTCTTTCCAACCTGTCATTTGTAGACATCTGTTTCACCTCTACCGCCATCCCAAAGATGTTGGTGAACATCCAGATGCAGAGCAAAGTCATAACCTATGGAAGTTGCATCACCCAGCCGTACATTTTTGTAATCTTCTCGGGGCTGGACATCTATCTCCTGGCCGTGATGGCCTATGATCGATTTGTGGCCATCTGTCACCCCCTGTACTACATGGTCAGCATGAACCATCAGCTCTGTGGAATCTTGCTTCTAGTGTCTTGGATCACAAGTGTCTTGCATTCTTTCTTACAAACTTCAATGGTGTTGCAACTCTCATTCTGTACACACATGGAAATCCCCCACTTTTTCTGTGAACTCAATCAGATGATCCAACTTGCATGTTCTGATGCCTTTCTTAATAATATGGTTATGTATTTTATAGATATGATGCTGTGTGGTGGTCCCCTCGCTGGTATAATTTATTCTTACTTTAAGATAGTTTGCAGTATATGTGGAATCTCATCAGCTCAAGGGAAGTATAAAGCATTTTCCACCTGTGCATCTCACCTCTCAGTTGTCTCCTTATTTTTTTGTACAAGCCTAGGAGTGTACTTCAGCTCTGCTGCTAGCCAGAGATCACACTCAAGTGCAATAGCCTCAGTGATGTACACCCTTGTCACACCCATGCTGAATCCCTTCATCTACAGTCTGAGGAATAAAGAAATAAAAGGGGCTCTGAAAAGATTCTTCGGGATGGCAAGTACAAAAGGACCAGTTATACTTGGGCAGAAGAAATGCCCAGGATTGCAGGACTCAAAGCCTCAGAGTCAGAATTGTGCTTCTTTAATCACATTGCAGAAGTAGAACCTGCCTTTTTTATTTATTTCCTGGAATTATCACTTTTTCAACTTCTTTGTACAATTTAGATACTTTATTATGCTTTTCTCTCTCTCTGAAATTTTACAGGTTTTTTCCTCCTTTTTTTCCTATTTTCCTAATTTATTCCCAACCTTTGATATGAAAACAATTGGAAATTTCCATTTATTTCATGGAATAACTTGATTATTGTATGTGTTAGCTGTTACTGCATAACTACTCAACACAAAATAAAATGGTTTAATATTATGTATATATTATCACATTGAATGGTATGGTGGGGAGTTGTTCTAAGCTCTATGGTGCCTCATAAATTGGTAACTAGGTGTGATTCCCCATGCTGTGTTTCTAAGGCTCATCCATGAATCTCTGCACTGCTGTAGTGTTCTTTTTAAACCAAGTTAAGGTTATTTCATTCATTCTTATATCTATGTTAATCTAGTTTACAGAAAAAAAAATTATCAAATTAATTCCACTGCACTATAGCCATATGTAACACTTTTCTTTCTTCCCAGTTTGATGTATCAAACATGCTTCTTCAGAGTGACTCAGCTACCTGTGCCCTAGACCCTACCCTGAGTCATGTGTCAGTAGAAATTTTCCTTTTAACTACTTCATGAGAGTATAATGACTTAAAATAAACTGCACATATTTAAAAAGTTCAGACAATAGAGGGAGTAGAGAGACTTTCCAGGGTGACACCAACAAGATGGCAGTACAACATTTTCTAGTACCTGTCTGCTCCCAGACACATCAAATTAAACAGCTATCCATCCACCAAAATACCTTTGCAGGAGGCAAGGATTCCAGATGAGTGACTAAAGCACCTTGGTGGATCAAATTAATAAAAAAGACACATTTAAGAGAGTGGAAAGGACATTTTTATGTTACCCCTGTCATGCCTACGCCAAGCCTGTGTGGCCCGTTGTGGAGAGAGACACTCTCTAAGTGAGGACAGTACAGTGAAGTGAGCACCTGACTTCACCTCAGACCCCAGTGCCAGACCAACCCCAGTGCCAGGCTAACTCCTCTGAGTCTAGGCTCCAGACCAAGTCCTGCACATTCAGTTCCTGGTCTGCTCCAGCACCAAGCCAGGACTTATGATCTCAGGCCCCAGGCTGGCTCCACCAATCCAGGCTCCTAGCCCACTCAAACACCAGGCTGGACTCTGATGCCCAACTTTCTGACTCGACCTGGCACCAGGCTGACATATGTGTCTCCAGCCTCTAGCCAGCTCCCATGAACTGAAGATTCTGCCCCCCAGGTCCAGGCCATCCCCACGGACTGGATTGTCAAGTCCATTCCCAGGTTCCCTGGCACTTCCTTGGCTACTTTGGACTCAGAATCCAGGCCTGACCACACAGACCAAGGTCCCATGCCCTTCATTGCAGATTCAAGAGCAAGAAATGTCCCAGTGACTCCAGGCTCCAGACTCTACCCCTAGTGATATCAGGTGCCAAACTGGACCCCAGGAATCCAAGCACCAGGCCTGTCACTTCCTGACTAAGTCACCAAGGCTGCCTACTAGAGCTCTCCAGAAGCACCCTTCTGGTGCACACAGCACCAGAGAGCCCACGCAGAATCTTTGACAGGCTGACTTTTGAAGGGCTTTGCCTGCCAAAGCTAATCTGCCAAAACTGGAGATGTCTTTTTCCTCAAACGTGCAGACAGAAGATCAAGGAAACAAGCATCATGAATATTCAAGGAATATGAAACCACACTCCAAAATAAAAAAGTTCTAATGACTGACCCAAGAGAAATAGAGATCTATAAACAACCTAACATTGCTCTTCAAAGAATTAAAAAAATATAGCAATGTCCAAATTTTGCAGAAATGAGATAAATATCAGCGCAGAAATAAATAAAATAGAAAAACAATAGAAAATATCAACAAAAAAAGAGCTGGCTTTTTTAAAAGATAAAGTTGGCAAAGCTTTAGCTAGACTAACCAAGAAAATAAAGAGATCATTCAAATACATAAAATTGGAAATGAAAGAAAAGACATTACAATGGCTACAATAGAAAAACAAAGAATCAAAGAAACTACTACAATTATACAAAATAAATTGGATAACCTAGAAAAATGGATAAAATTCATGAAACAATGCAACTTACTAAGATTGAATCATAAAAGAAATATTTTTTAAAAACTCAACAAGCAAATGAAGAGTAAGGAGTTTGAATGAGTAACCCACAACTTCCAAACAACGAAAACCTAAAGACCAGATGATTTCACTGGTGAAGCTTACCAAAACTTTTAAAAAGAATTAACACAAATCCTCTCAAACTCTGCCAGATAATTTAACAGAGGGGATCATTACAAAATTTATTTCATGAGGCCAGCTTTACCCTGATTCCAAACCCAGACAAGGACACTACAAGAAAGGAAAACTAACTACATGTCAATAGTCCTGATTAATATATGCAAAAATTAGCAAGAAAATCTCACAAACTGAAGTGAACAACACAATGAAAGGATCATACATTATGATCAGAGGAATTTATTTATAGAATACAAAGTTTTTCCCTGTAAGCAAACAGGTAAATGTGATACATCACATTGATAGAATTAAAGGTAAATACATATATATTTACCTTTATATATATATGTATATGATAATCTCAATAGATGCAGAAAATGCTTTTGGGAAACTCAATATCCCTACATGATAGAAACTCTCAACAAATTTGGTATAGAAGGATGATACCTCAAAATAAAGAAGAACATATATGAGAAGTCACATCTAACTTAACAGCGAAAGGTTTAAAGCTTCTAAGATCAGGAACAAGACAAGTATGCAAGTCCTGCCTCTCCTATTCAACATACTATTTGAAGTCCTAGTTAGACAAGTTAGATTTAAAAAAAAGAAAGAAAGTGGTGCAAAATGGAAATGAAGAAGTAAAGTTGTTTCTGTTTGAAGATGATAGCATCTTATGTATAGATGCCTAAAGACTCCACAAAAAACCTTCAGAAGTAATAAATAAATTCACTTAAGTTTCAGGATAGAAAGCCTAAGTCCAAAAATCAGTTGAATTTCTATACACCAACAATGAACAATATTTCTGAAAAAGATAAAGAAAAAATTCATTTACAGTAGTATCAAAAGCAATAAAATACTTAAACATTAATATAACCAAGGAAGTGAAAGATCTACACACATAAAACTATAAGATATTGATGAAAGGCTTTGAAGCATACACAAGTGATGGAAAGAAATAAAAACTGTCCCATGTTCATGGATTAGATTTAATATTAAAAGGCCTGGATACTGAAAGTCATCTATAGATTGGATGCAATCCATATCAAAATTCCAAAGCCATTTTTCACAGAAATATAGAAATGATTCTAAAATTTGCATGGAATCACAAAAGATCCTGAATATCCTAGATAATCCTGAGAAACAACAAAGCTGTAGGCATCACCTTTCTCAATTTTGGATTTTCTTATCAAGCTAATTATAACAGTATAGTACTGACTGACATCAGCATCATGGCAGAGTAAGCTCACCCGGGACTCTCTCCCCTCCGACATACAACAAAAAGGAGTAACCATATTCCAACAAAAAAGTTCTAATAGCACAGGAATCCTCAGAGACCCACAGAAGCCAAACGACAGAGGCCGGAGAGGCTGGAGCCCACCTCAGAGGAGATGGAATGGGGTGAGAGAGAACTTTGCTACCTCCATTAAAGACTGGGATAGCTGCCACTGGAGGCTCCATGAGGGAAGGAGCAGGGGAGGGACCGACTGTGAGTACACAGGATCACTCAGGAGTCCCACACCATGCAGCCTAGAGGGAAGCTCTCTAATGGGGTGAAAACTCGCATGGAGTGACCTCATCAAGCCAAAACCCCAGGAGACCAGATAGCAAGAGCTGATCCGGAAACCTGGACTGTGCTCAAGAGAAAGTGCCCCTCCTTGCCCAACCTGCACTGTGCACCACCATCTCAGCTGAAGGCAGAGGGCTCACAATACACAGCTCTCGACCCCCATCTAGTGGCGACAGGCTGTAACTGCAACTGAATAATATCACCATGGGGAAGACCCATGCTTCTTCCAGCATCCATCAATTCATCAAATCTCAAGACCGCAGGGAAAGCAAGCATCCAGAATTATGCCCTGAGGACTCAGAAATAAGTAAACTAAACTACAATGAATTCAGAATAGCTATCATCGAAAATCTCAATGAGGTAAAGGAAAACAATGAGAAACAAATCGATGAGTTCTGGAGCTACTTCACAAAAGAGATTGAAACTATAGAGAAGAATCAATCAGAAATATTAGAGATGAAAAATACAATGGAAGAAATAAAACAAAATGCAGAACCCCTGAATCTCTGTGTGGATGCCATAGATGAGCAAATCACTATAATCAAAGATAGACAGGTTGAATGGCTCCAGACAGAATAAAAGAGACTTAAGAATAAAAAAGTATGAAGACTATCTCAGAGGAATAGCCAAGTCAATGAGGAAATGCAATATAAGAATAATTGGAATCCCCAAGGGCTATAAAAAGGAGAATGGAGCAGAAAGTGTGCTCAAAGGAATAATAGCAGAAAACATCCAAAATCTAGAGAATGAGAGAGAAATATTTGTGGAGGAAGCTTTTGGGTCTCCTAGATGTGTCACTGTAAGAAGACCTACTGGAAGGCATATAGTAGTAAAACTGGCAAAAGTGAATGACAAAGAAAGAGTACTCAGGGCAGCAAGGCAGCATAAAATAACCTACAAAGGAACCCCTATCAGACTTTCAGCAGATTTCTCCACAGAAAACATACAAGCTAGGAGAGATTGGAATGACATATTCTAACCCTTAAAACATAACAATCTTCAGTCAAGAATACTCCATCCAGCAAAAATATCCTTCAGATATGAGGGAGAAATTAAATCTTACCCAGACAAACAAAAGCTAAGGGACTTCGTAGCCACAAGACCCCCTTACAAGAAATCCTCAAGAAGGCCCTCATACCTGAAAAAAGAAAAAATGGGAG